ATCTTAAAAAAAGTTTGATGTCGTTGAAGTAGACAGTAGAATTGGAGGTGGAGACAAGGACTGGGGAGATGTTGGGTGAAAGATACACAATTTTAGTTAGAAATAAGTTCAAAAGATCTAGTGTACATTACAAAATCGAAAATTGTTGAGAGTAGATCCTACCTGTTCTGATCACAAATAAATGGTGAGAAAATGTGTGTATGTTTATTTTCTTGATATAGCCATTCCATAATGTATACATCCCCAGCCCAGGACATTGCTTTTAAATTTAAAAAATCACTGAGTAAGTACATTTAGTCAAGCCATTCTCAAATCTTCTTTTATCAAAAGTTGCAGAGCCTGTCATCCAAAAGGATAATTAAAGAAATGAGGAAGGATTACCAAGAAACCATAAAAATGATTACCTATAAGGGATGGGATGGAAGTAAGACTTCTTTTTACATAGCTTTCACTTTTACTTTACCTTTTTAAAACATCACGTATGCCATAAATATGGGTAATGTTTGTCAATGAAAAAAATTTTGTCAGCCCATCCTGGCCCCTTTTTGAAGTCACAAGCAAAGCCATGAAGAGCTGAGGCTGAGGATAAACCAAAAGCTTATAAGTGGAGGTAACCTTGGGCTGGGCCTTTACAAAACACAAGGGAGGATTATCCCAGGTCTTAAAATTCACCAGCAAAATGTCTTCAGCCCCTAGGGGTAAGAAACAAGCTGAAGAGGACTGGCCAAGGAGTATAGGCTGCAAGTCAGGATTACCTAGAACTCAGCACACAGAAATACCAGCATGTGTATATGTCCACATAGATCTAAGAGGTGACAGTCACTATCACACACCACAGAAAAGGGCGTCACGAGAGCACAGGGCCAGAGCAAAAACCATCATAGGAAATTAGCTTCCAAATGAAAGGCCTTTCTGAGGTGAGGAGAGCAGGACAGAACAGCTCCTTAGGAGCAAGACTGACCTGGCCCAGATCCACCTGTGTTACCACGGCCATTGTGTACACTCTTTGGCTCATTATGACACTACCTGGTAGGCAGATCATAAAACTGTACGGTAGGGTGGACTGGAGGTGAGGGAGACGGCTTTCTGCATGCTCGGTACAAGCAACCTTGCACGGGCAGCTAGGTGGGTCTGTGCAAACTGGTTCTCTGAAGCCAAGTCCTTAACTCCTTTGTCTATTCACAGAGTTAGGAAAAAGACTGCTCTCTCTTCGCTGATCCCAATAGTAGAGGGATGAAGGCGGGATGAAGGTGCTGCCTTGGCAGTGGCAAAGTTACAGTCACTTTCTGGCTATCTGTGTTAATGAAGAGAAGCTGGCAGCCAGTTGACTGAAAATAGGCAGAGCTTTCCTGTTTAGCACTGAAATGAATTATATGATTGTTCCACAGAACAAGGAACAGGTTCCACATCCTAGTTGAGGCCCCTGAGTGGTATTCTCCAAGCCCCCCAGTTGGCAGAATGACTGTGTAATTGATGACTGGCCATCCACTAACTGGGCACTGTGTCCTGCAGGCATCGAGGGAAACAACCCTAATGGTGACCCCTAGGAATCTGGCATCTGAGCCAGAATTCATGACAGCCAGACGGATATGTGGCAGAGCCCTCTTGGTAGGAAATCTGGGTCTTAGTTAAAAGTGGGTCATTGCTTTTACCTTTTGGGGGAGTGGTTTGGTTTTGCTGTTTGTTTTATGTGGTGCTGGGGACAGAATCTAAGCATGCAGTCTGTCACTGAGCTACATCCCAGCCCAGAACACCAGTTTTAAATATAAAAAAAATCACTGAGTACATCTAGTCAAGCCATTCTCAAGTCTTCTTTTGTTAAAAGTTGCAGAGCCCATCATCCAAATGGATAATTAACAAAGAAAAACAGGAAGGATAACCAAGAAACCATGAAAATGATTGCCTGTAAGGGATGGGGTGGAAGCAAGGCTTCTTTTTACAAAGTTTTCACTTTCAAAGCATAAAATGGATTATCTTTTCAAAAAAATCAAGCAAGCTTTAGATTTGCAAGTCTAAGATGCAGAGCAGCTTCCCTGCCCCTTCCCTCCCCCACTGCTCCCTGAATTTGGACTGGCCCAACCATTTGTGTTCTAGATGGGGAAGGGAAGGCCAGCAAACCTGCTTATCTCTTTCCATAGGAGACATTTGGGTAGGGTTAGTTACCTCCCCCCAAAAAAACAGAATACTCTTATCTTTTTGTAAGATTATGTTTAATTAAAAATAAAAGTTATCTTAACACATCTGCATTTGCAGCTTCACGGATGGCAACTTAATGAAGCAAGAAAAAGAAGGCTTATCAGTCCTTGGGTCACCTGACCATCTTATAATAGGTACAAAGGCACACGTTTCCAAACAAACGGGATTCAGAAACATTTCTAATCACTCTCAACTGCCTTCCTCCAACTCCTTTTTGCCTGTCCTTACCAATCCCCCCCACCCAGAGAAAAAAAAACCCAAAACTTTAAATTCTCTTTTAAAACTACAGAAATAAGTGCCGAGGCAGGAAGGAGCCTGGGCAGGTCCCTCCACCTCTCTCTGCTCTGATGACTGGCTGCCCAGAGGGTGGCATGGAGGGAAGAGAGTAACCCTCCACTGCAGCCAGCATGGCACCGGCCAACATGAGCAGGCTGCACATATTCACCCCACAGCTGAGGCAGATAGCTCCAAGGTGCCATCTACCTCAATCAAGGGCATCTGTGACAAACACGGCCCTCCAGGAAGAGAAAGGCCAAGGCAAGTAAGTCTTTGTCAGTGACTTGTGATGGAAATCCACTGGGAGGGAGGGAGACGAGTGGGGCTTTTGTCCCCCCTACCACCCTTTGCCAGGCTGCCAGGGGTTTTTCTCTCCTGGATCTCCCTGTCTTCTCTCTTTTCCCTTCTTCCCAGTCTCCCCTTTCCCCCCACATTTTTACTTTAGCTTAATGGTGGGGGTTCAGAAGAGGCTATTGTCAACTCCTGGGGCTGGCCTGGTGGCTCTGCCACCTCCAAGGGGACATGGCATGCTTTGGGTTCCTGAGCATCACAGGGTTCCTCCTGTCCCTGCAAGGGCTCCAGCCGCTCCTGGATCTGAGCCTGGCTGTTCATTTTTTCTTCAGCTTCAATCTCTTCTGATGTGGGGATAGAGTTCTTCTTGGGACGACCCTTGGGCTTCGTGGGTGCCTCCTGTCCACCTTTAAGGACCTATGTGAGAACACAGGACAAGTTATGGAATCCAAGAGGTAACTCCTTCCCTTCAGTTTTCTGCTTCCCTTAACAACCTCACACAGCATGGAAGTCCTTTCTTCCCAGCAGCAAAGTTGCAGGGTTTGGCCAAATGGATTTCTAACCCATCCTTTTGATCTACAAAGATGGCTTCCTCCATGCTTGAGGAACTTTCAGTCAGTGTCATGTATTTTAGTATTTAAAAACATGATCATAAACACGTAACAATCAACTTTGGTAAGAAAAGAAATGAAAATGAAAATGTTAAAGTGATGACAACTATCACATTGACAAATTAAAAGGACAACAGCGAGCAAGAGGACAAACACACTAGTGTGCAAGTATAATCGGTACCACCTTTTAAAAACAATCTGAGAATTCAAATCTGAACCATTCGGATGGTCATTCCTTTTTTGACACAGAAACAACTTAGGAGAAAGTCTCAAAACTCATCTGAGATTGAAGCAGATCTGCAGAACTACTCAGCTCAATATATCATTACAACACATGAGGGTCCCCTCAAGGTTCAGCCATGTAATCAGCCAGATAATTCTAACACATCCCAAAGAAAGAATACGTGGTAGCCATTGCAATGAGTTAGGAGAGTGGGAAATATGAATACGTTTTTTTTTGAAAAATACGTTATTATCATAGCCCAATTTGGAGGCTAGGCACCTACACAAACCTAGTTTGCAGTGTCAGGATCATGGATAGCTTTTCCTCTTCATTTGTGTTATTTCTGTATTTTCTAACTTGTCAACAAAGATCATGTATAAGTTTTTCTGTTCTCAGAAAGAGATGTTATAAAACACATAGCCTTGTATTGCTCAAAGCAGTAATAGACATTATAGAAAGTATTCTAGCTGTGAAGGTAAGAAAACTAGATGAAGTTCTAACGCTGCTACTTTAGAGCTTTGTCTTCGGGAAAGCCCTTTAGGGAATCTGCGCCTTATTTTTCTAATGTGTAAAATGGGAATAAGGTGAGAAGGATCAACACATACGGACATGAGGGGGCCAGAACCGTTCCTGAGTGACAGCAGCTTTCCTCTGCTCAAAACATGCATCTCTCTGGCTGACTTCTCCTGGGAGTCTGCCCTGCTCCCCTAAGTCAGTGAAACTCTCTCCTCCACCCGCCTTGGGAGCACTTTTCATAGATGCTGTCACCACATGTTCGCTTGCCTGTCCTCCCGCTAAGTCCCAGCACGTCTCAGGCAACTGACAACTAGTAAGGAATGAACCAACCTTTCTCAATAAACATTTCCATGGAGTTGAAGAAAGATACAAAGTAGGCAAAAGAATCACACCCCAAATAGCCTTTGCTAGTATCAAAGGATTTACACATTTATTTCATTCAGTCATCTAAAATTTATTGTTCCAATATTTATTTTTAAAAACATTTCATTAGCATCTAATAAGGGGTTTTATGATGACATTTTCATATAAGCTTACAATGTACCTTGGTTAGGCTCACTCCCACCATCACTCTCCCTCATTCCTGTCCCCGATTCTTGAAACAATTTCACATTTTTATCCTAATTTGTGATCTACACAAGAATCCCAGGAAATAGGCAGGGATCGTTTTTTAAATATTTGTATTTTACTTGGGAATGCAACAGGCAGTCCTTCCTCCATCAGTTCCAAGCCCTGGCTCAGTGTAGTTGATTTTCTGGGTAACTAGTGAGAAGGGCTATGGGAGGGCTTGAATTGCACAGAGAACTGGGGTGGGAGATACTTATTGCTATTTACATGCTGTGTTAGTCAGCTTTATATCTCTGTGACAAAATACCTGAGATAAATCAACTTATAAGGAGGAAGGATTTCTTCTGGCTCACTGTTCTAGAGGCTTCTGTCATGGTCAGTTGGCCCATTGCTCTGGGGCCTGAGTTGAGGCAGTACATCATGGTAGGAGCTTGTGGTGGAGGAAGGAGTTTGCCTCACTGTGGCCAGGAAGCAAAAAGAGACAGGAAGGAGCTAGGATCCCAATATCCCCTTCAAAGGCACCCCCACCACACCACCAATGGCCTAATTTCCTCCACTTAAAAGTTTCATTACCTCCCAATAGCTGGAGAGGAAGCCTTCAACACATGGGCCTTTGAGGAACATCCCAGATCCAGACTACAGCACATATTTAATGTTATGGTCCCCACTTGCATAGCAGCATCCTGAAAGCCAATCCTGCATCTCTCCTAAGAACATTTAATTACTAAGAGCTTCCTGTGTGGCCAGTGCATGTTCACTGAAATAGTTTGTTTCCTTTAAGAACAGCGAAGGACCTCCAGCCGCTGGACTTTAAGATGAGCGTATTAACTCATCAAACCACAGATCTTTTTAAAACAGGCTTGAGATAAAATTCACATACATTTCATCCCTTTATATTGCACAACTCAGTGATTTTTAGTACAGTTAGTACACTTTAGTACAGTTAGTGAAACTCAACACCCACCAACCCCTTCCCCTCTGTCCTAGGCAACCACCACTGCACTTATTTTCTTTATAGATTTGCCTCTTCTGGCCATTTCATACCACTGGAATCATATAACATGTGGACTTTTGTGACTGGTTTCTTTCACTTGGGACAGAATTCTCAAGGTTCATCTATGTGGTAGCCTAGATCAGAAAGCTCTGTTCCATTTCACGCATATACCACAGTTTGTTTCCTCATTCATCGGCAGATGGATGCTTGGATGACCTCCACCATTTGGCTACTGTGAATAATGCAGGAGTGTGCAAACATCTCCTTAAGTCCCTGCTTTCATATCGTTGGGATATAAACTCAGAGATGGAATTGCTGGATCTTCTAACAACTCTAGGGTAACTGAGCATTGCTTCTGCAAAGCAGCTGCACCATTTTACACTTCAGCCAATAATATGTGAGGATCTCAGTTCTCCACCCCTTGTCATGCTTCTTTATTACAGCTATCCTAGGAAGTGCAAAGGGGTCTCCTTATGGCTTTGATCTGAACTTCCCTGATAACTAAGGAGGTTCAGAATCTTTCCACATGCTTATTGGCCAAGTGTGTGTTTTCTCTGGAGAAAGATCTATTCCAACTCTTTAGTATCCTTTCTAAATTTGGCTGCCTTTATTACTGTGTAGTAAGAGTTCTTTAAGTATTCTGGATTTGTACCTCTTATTAGATAGAAGATTTTGAAACATTTGCCCACATTTTGTGAGTTCTTTTCTCTCTCTCTCCATATATATACATATTTGTGTGTGTGTGTGTGTGTGTGTGTGTGTGGTTGTGGTGGTGGTGGTGGTATTGGAGTTTGAACTCAGGGCTTTATGCATTCTAGGCAGACACTCTATCACTTGAACCATGCCTCCAGACATTTTTGCTTTAGGTTGTTTTTCAGATAGGGTTTGCTTTTTGTCCAAAGCCAGCCTTGGAACGTGATCCTCCCAATCTCTGCTCCAAAGTACCTGGGATTACAGTATGAGCCACCGCGTCCAGCCTTCACCTTTTTGATGATATCCTTTATAGCACAGTTTTGAATTTCAATGAAATCCTACTTAATTTTTCTTTTGTTGCTTGTGCTTTTGGTATATCTGAGAAGGTGTTGGATAACCCAAGTCGCAAAAATCGTCCATAATTTTTATAGTTTAGTCTTACATTTAGATCTGTGATTCATTACAAGTTAATGTTTTGGTTGTGTACAGGTCTGAGGAGAACCATCCATTCTCAGTGAACACCTCCTTTCAATTGGCTCAATCTGTTAGATTCCACCCAGACAGCTAACACAGATGTGAAGGGACCTTTAACAAGGTACAGATGCTGACAGAAACCACCTCTGGGGAAAAGACATTCCTGTATTCCTTTTCAGGTAAGTCAGTATCTGATTTTGATTTCGGTGTGAGCGAGGCTTTTGAAAGCACCTAAATGTGCCAAGACGTAATTTACATGTTGAAGCAGCTCCACTGGATATGAAAGAGGTTATACAAAAGTAAGTTGCCCCATGTAGTAATCAACTTAGAAAAGGGTAGGTCGAAGGAAGTCACCTAATTGGCAAAAGAAAGTCCAGCCCAGCAATTAGAGAACACCACCCACACAGCTGGGATCAGCCCCACCTGGCTGTTTTCCTACAGCATGAAAAAAAAAAAAATCAAAACAATCAGACCATTTTCTAAATGGAATAAAACATTCCTGTGCAAGCAATAATTAGGAGATAACTACCCTCCTGGCTGCTTTCCACGTCGACCTCTGGCCCCCTGCCTCCCTGCACACCTGAGACTGAGACGTGCATGCCATTATCTCAACCCCCCAGCACCAAGCGCAGCCCTCCCTCGTGTGCACCGTGTGCACCCCGCAGCCCTCTTCTCAGGGGCTCTCTCCCCAGTCATTCCTAGGGCAGATCTGTCCCTTCGTCCAGAGAGGCCAGACACCCATGGTAACCTGAGGTCACATGCTTCCCTCTGCCTCTTAGAAACACCTAGCACACCAACTGCTTGTATAAGCTGTGTTTGCCGCCAGCCCTCCTCTGAGCTCTCACGAGCCATTCAAACGCGCTCTCGCCGAGGGTGTCATCTGAGGGTGTCAAGATGACGGGGCCTTTGGCTTCCTCCCCGAGGGGCTCAGGTGGGGGACAGGCAGTGTGGCTAGACAGCACAGATGTCAGAGCACAGAGGACCCTTTTCCCTTCCCCCCTTTCAGACAGGAAGTACCTACAAAGAGAACTCCTCAGGATCAACAGGGGTCAAGCAGAGCTGGGATTTGAACACAAAACTCCTGGCCATTTGAATCTAACCTTCTTACCAGCATTTCACTCTGCATAATTTGTGAAGGACATAAAAAACGTGCTGCTGTTTGCTATTTTTTAGCAATTACCTGACCTCCCTGCAAACCCTAGGCAGACTCATGAACTGGGACAAATTTTCCATTTTTTTTTTTCTCCTCTCTCTGGACCATATAACTGATGACAGTCCCATAAAGCTGAGAAACAAGTTTGGATTCTCCAGCACGAATCTCCTTCCAGAATGTTCCATTACAACAAACAGGGCCCCAAATGCCAAGGCTCTGAGATACACACCAGGACTGCTCTTAACCAAGAGAGAAACTCAGGCTCCCAGAAACCTATAGAATTCACTTTCAGTTTACCTATCTTGGCCTTCAAAGGGTGGAGGTACTGTTCAAGTGTTTTAGCACCTTCCCAACAAACAGAAGGCCCTGAGTTCAAGCCCCAGTACCTCCAATAATAACAACAATAATAGTAAAGCAGAGAGTTAAAAAAAAAAAGTTTGGCTGGTGGAGTGGCTCAAGTGGTAGAGCGCCTGCCCTGAGTTCAAACTCCAGTACTGCCAAAAATAAAAAAAAATAATAGTTTGGATTCTCTGGAGACATAGCTCTTGTAGATTATTATTATTATTATTATTATTATTATTATTATATTATGGCAGCTAGCATTCCTTGTCTGTATACTACGTGGCAGGTACTGTTCTAAACGTTTCATAGACATTAGCTCAGTTAATACTACAATCTATAAGGTATCCATGAGGTATTTTATTGAGGAGGCAGCCAGAAGTTTAGCAGCTTGCAACCCATAACCACTTCACAGAATTGCTGACAACCTAGAGACCTCTAACGTGAAAGCTAATGATGGCCTGTCCAGGTCCTGTGATTGGGAGAGGGAGGTGGTACCCATCTGAATCCTCTCAGGGATGAGAATTGCATATTAAAGCTGAGGACCACTGAATAATGAGATGCATTCAGCCTGTTACAAAACACCATGGATCCTACTGGAATGAATGCCAAGAGAAATGGAATAGAGGGTGAACGTGGCCCATCTAACGTGCAAGATTAAATTTACCCAACCCGCTATAGGTTACACATGCTGACCAGTCAAAACTAGCCCAAGATGCTATCTTGGGTTTGGCAGCCATGTGAGTAAGTCTGAGAATCAAGTGCTAATCTTTTTTCAGTTCCAATTAGGTTACTAGCCTTGAGACATCTTTATTACCCAATTATCTTTTTCTTTTCCTCTCAGTACCTGAAGAGATAGCCTTGAAAGAGTTTTACCAGGAAAAACTATGAAGCAATGTGGATCTTAACAATGCCTGGCTGTTCTAAGGCAGTCAGAGTTAGACTCACAACTGAACACAGTCCCTGGCATTTAGTTCCCGCCATCTTGAAGTTCTTACGTGCCCCTCACCCCCCCCACCGGACTTCTGTCCCTTATTCTTGACTCCAGTTCCGTTCCCACCTTCCGGCTCATGTCTACTCATCCACTGAAGCCAGTTTGCTGGGCGCCTCCTTCAGGAAGCCCTCCCGTCTCTGTCCAATGTTGCCTTAATCTCTCCATAGAATTTAGTTTTTAGGTCTTTTCTTCCCACTTGGCTGAATAACTTTCTCATTTTAGTTTTTAATGGACAAATTCATAGCTTGTCTTTGCATCTCCATTATCTGATGAAACTGGGTGTTCCACAAATTGCCGTTAATGTGAACTTGAAGTTCGGCCCTCTTGTTCTTGTTTACTAAATTCACCTGAATTCAGATGGCCTAGAATGTCCTCTGAGGTCAAATCTGCTGAGTTACTTCCATTTTGATTTATATGGCATAGACAACCATCAACAACCAGCCCACAACTCCACTGGCAACACAGAGACTGGTGAAAAACAAGTGACATCAGGGGCGAAGGCGCGCAGGCGCAGGTCGTCCCAGGGGACAGGGCAGCACAGGCCAAGAGGGCTGCCTGTCAACTTGCTAAGCATCTGACTTAAGAGAAGATTGCAGATAACCGATTTAAACAATGCCTCTGCTACTCAGGAAACACTGATTTTCATGACAATGATTGATGAGGATGGAGGTGGGTGTTGAATCAACACAGAAAGCTCTCCAGGGACTTGCCCAAAATCAGCCAGGGAGGGGAAGACATGGGAACTGGCCAGGGGTTTCTCACTCCCCAGTCTGCTTCCTTCAGAGAGCAATCACCCCCCACCCCCACCCCAAAAGGTTCCCACCAGAAGTTCCGTGTGTGTGACACTGAAGAGTTTTGGAATGACTGCCTGTTTAATTGAACCTCATTCGCCATTCAACTTCAACTCCTCTTTGCAACCTTCCTCACCACCTCTCTTCTGAGCACTTGAGGGCTTGTCACTCCATAATAAACAACCAGCACTGGACCACAATGTCCTCCCTAGCTGCTTCCTGGGCCTTCTCTCTCCAATAGGCTCTTAAGTTCCATGAAAGAGAGGTTGTATTTTTTTCATTACCTCTGATGGTCTTGACACAAGGCCTGGTTCATATGAGGCTCTACGGACGTTTGCTGATTCGTACAATGCTTGGTTGCTCATACATGCAGCTGACATCTCTGCCTTACTTCCTGAGGACTTCATGAGCCAAGTCACCTCCCTTTAAAAATCCTTCTATCTCAGGGTCAGGTCCTCCTAAAGGGAACTATGGGCTCTGTCTAGGAATCCCTTTTGGGGAATATAATGATTCCTGCTTGTTGACTTTTTGCTAATTTTTCCATTAGTATTCATTTGTGGTTTATTTTGGTGTTTTCCCAGATAGCGGATGAGAGCAAGTGATAGCAATGTTATGGTTCAGATCTGAAATGTCCCCATGGTTGATATGGTAAAGGCTTGGTCCCCAATGCAGCACTGCTCATAGGTAGCAATCTGGGGCAGAGATTGGGTTATGAGGGCTCTGACCTCATCAAGGGGCATATCCATTGATTGGTTCACAATATGACGGGCTGTTGGGAGGGGATGGAGACTTAGGAGGTAGGACCTGGCTGAAGGGAGTGGGTCCGTGGGTGCTTCTCTCTTCTTTCTTTCTTTTCCTCTCTCTCTCTCTCTCCCTCCCTCCTGTCTCCTATGAGGTGAGCATCATTGCTCCTGCCATGGTGTTCAGTCTCTACACAGACCCAGAAGCAATGGAGCTAAGTGACCATTGGCAGAAACCTCTGAAACTGTGAGCCAAAATAAGTCTTTTCCTTCTTTAAGTTAATCTAGCTCAGATATTTTTACCATGATGAAATCTGACCAACACAAGAAAGAACTAAAGGTTTAAGAAAAACATTAATAGACAAAACTATAATTTGAGAAAATATCTATCCACTGGCTTTTTTCCTGAGAACTGAGGAGGGAGGCCATCTTGGTTATTCAGCTATTGTGGAAAACACCACATTCCATCCCTTGATTACCAAGAAATATGGCTTGTAACCAGATAGGTTAGCAAATTAGAATGCTATGAGGAAGAAATGGTGTCCCTGGCACATATAGGAGAAGAAAGCCAGGAAGATCCACTGAAGCCGTGGGGAAGATCAGTGTCAGGTGACATGGGGTTATCTGGTATCTAAGAAACCAGAGCGGAGCATCTTCCTTCTTCCCCAGCCCTCCTTTCTTCTCGGGGCCTTGACTTTGTCTCTTATGGTTTATAAAACTGGGAAACATTCAAGTACCTTGCAGAATTTAGATTTAAGTAATTTTCAAAAAAGAGAGAGAGAGAGAGAAAGGAAGGAAGGAAGGAAGAAAGAAAGCAAAAAAGATAGACTACATGCCTGTAATCCCAGCTACTTGGGAGGCAGAGATCAGGAGGATTACAGTTTGAGGACAGTCTAGGTGAAAAGTTAGCAAGACCGCCATCTCAACAAACAAGCCAGGCACAGTAGCCTGTGTCTGTAATCCCAGTTGCAGGGGGGAGGCATAGGTAAGATGACCAAGGTCCAAAGCTAGCGCTGGGCAAAGTTAGCACAAGACCCTATCTGAAAAATAACTAATACAAAAAGGACTGGGGACATGCCTCAAGTTGTCGAGCACTTGCCTACATAATGTAAGCTTCTTAGTTCAAACCCCAGTGCTGCCAAAAAATGAAAAATAACTAAACCATAACTCAAACATAGAGATTTCTGTTCTCAGTACATTTAAGAATCAAAGCTCACTGGCTAGGAACTGGAGCGGTATTATGGAAATTATTGGCACTGGAGCACATGCCGTGAAACCACCTGTGTGCACGTTAATATACTCATGCCCAGCTCTGCACAGGCCTGTAGAACCTGAATTCTGGGAAGGTGCCTGGACCCTGCATTTCTACCTGCCACGCAATGACTCTGAGGTCTGCTGAGTTTGAGGATAGTGGCCTTGGAGGATACATGGTACCAGAACAGATGTGTCCTCTGTCAGTATTACCCAGGTTCTGACCTCTGTTCTTAGCTGTTGGTGGGAAGGGAAGGAAGTTGTTTTGAAAAGGCTAGCAAGTGGGACTCAAACTAGCAGCTGAGAAATTGTGGACTTTCTTCTTTGATTTCTAAGGAAACTGTGAAAAAGGATATCCCTCTGGTTAAAAAAATCCAGGTCAAGTTCATACAGCCTCCCTCCTAGCCACATCTTAGAAGTCCTTTCCATCTTGCAGCCCAAACCATCAAATGGTCCTTCCTGCCATTCCTACCCTGGTAGGAATTCTCCCTACTAGGGATGGGCATGAGGTTCACTCTAGCCTTTCTTACCATTTTCTTCCATTTCATCCTGCGATTCTGGTACCAAGTCTTCACCTGCAGCTGAGTGAGTCCCAGAGACTGGGCCAAGTCCAACCTAAAAGGCACAAGATACAAAGGAAGGATAAGGAGGACAGGAGAGAGCAAGGGCGATGGGGTCCTGCTAACTGGCTCCTGGCACTCACTACCAAAGCCCAGATCTCCCCCATTAAACCAGTTCTTCCCCAAAAGGGTTCTTTCCTTCCAAAAATCCTATGGAGGAAACTCTGGAAACTAAGATACAGTTGGCCACACCCAAAGCCATCTGGAACAGTCCCCATCTGGTAACATTCTCTGTCTGCAATGGACTTACAAAGGATGCCTGAGCCTTCATTATATAGTCCTTTTGTGGGCTGGTGGAGTGGCTCAAACGGTACATGAGGTCCTGAGTTCAAACCCCAGCACCACCACCACCAAAAATAAATAAATAAATAAAAATAAACAGTCCTCATTCTGATCCACTACAAAATGCATGCTCTGACATATGTTAGACCATACGTCCATGGGACTCCCACTCATCACTTGATCTACCTCCCAGCTCCCATGACTCCCCTACTCTGCCCCCTCCCACAGGCCAGCAGTCACCCAGATGGTCCCATGTTCTCAACTGTCCTCTAATCACTTTGCAGGTGTTATTTCTGCCTCCGTAATGGCAAGTCTTCTACTTAGGCTATATCCAAAAAAGTAACTAACTTGTTGCTAAACCCAGAAGCAGAACTCAAAATACTTGTTGGCACATTCAATGACTCACTATAGTTGCCTTAAATTACAGTGATCAAAATGTTAAAAATGATTGGATGTTCTAAAGATTTGAATGAGTCAGGTGACAGTGGCTCACACCTGTAATCCTAGCTACTTAGGAGGCTGAGATCCATAGGAACACAGTTGGAGGCAAATCATTTGCAAGACCCCATCTCAACCAATAGCTGGGCTTGGTAATGCACGCCTGTCATTGCAAGCTACACAGAAGGCTGAGATTGGGAAGATCACGGTTCCAGGCCAGATCAGGCAAAAGAGTTTACCAAACCCCATCTTGAATGGAGAAAAACTGAATGTGGTGGCACATGCCTGTCATCCCACCAAAGGACAGGAAGGATAAAATTGTAAGATTGCAATCCAGGCTGACCTGAGCAAAAACTGAGACCCTGTCTCCAAAATAAACAGAGCAAAAAGGGCTTAAGGCGTGGCTCAAGTGACAGAGTGCCTGCTAGCTAACATCATGTCCTGCGTTCAAACCCCAGTATTGCCAAAAAGAAAGATTCCAATGAAACATTAAGTCCATGACCCCTCCTGTTTACCACGGTACTGCTCACGGGGACTTCTGCATTTCTCTGTGACTTTCTGAAGAGCCCTGAAGTCAAAGCCACATTACTGGGGAGTGTAAAGTGAACATTAATGCCAATAACCATTTCCTGGACACCACAGCACCCCAGGCTACATGCTAAGCCCCTGCCAGGTGCTACCTTATGCTTTCCTTTCACCACACTGTGAAGGTAGTGTCATTATTTCCATTTTACAGATGAGAGTTAAGACTTGGGGAGAGATAGCAGTCTCTCAGCAACTGTGGCCAAATCCTGTCTGCCACTTGATTCTGTAAAAAAGGTTTCAGTAGAATGGGGACGTGTTCATTCACTTACTCACTTCCCTTGGCTACCTCTGCGCTCCAACACCAGAGTTGAGTAGTTGTGACAGACCACATGATCCACAAATCCTGAAATATTTACTACTTGGCCCTGTGCAGAAAAACTTTTCTGACCCCTGGATCCTGGAGGAAGAGGTGGAGGCAGGAGTCAAGTCCACCTAGGTCTGACTTGAATATCACCTCCTGGATAAGGTTCTTCCCCTCCCACACATAAGATCTGTGAAAGGAAACACCCCAAATGTGACCGTGGAATGAGAAAGGGAAGTTTGTAGCCAGGCTCTCAACCTCAGTCCCCAAGGCAATACCCATACCCAAGTGGATAAGAGCCTAAGTCTACCTGGGCATCCACTAGAAAGACCCTCTCCCCATGTCAATGTGAGCCACCTCCCTGCAGCCCTGCACTGTGAAGCAATGTGGCCTTGTAAAACTGAGTAGACAGTGTCTATCACTATTTGAAGGTCCCCAGATTTCTGAGAATTGCCCCCAGCAGATATAAGGCCCAGCATTTCAGACAAGCCTGCACAGGCTTGCGCTACATGGAACTTGCAGCTGCGACTTTTTCTACCTGAGGAGATGTAAGCATCAGCAGGACCAGAGGGTACCAGCCCTGGAGGATCCAGTGCTCTGAGGTGCAGCTGCCCGGCCCCTGCTCTGACCAGAATGCACAAATTAAGTCTCTCATAATAAAAGTAGAGTCTGCCTTCAGGAGACTTCTGAACCCGTCTTAAATCTGCATCCACACACAGCTGCTCAACCCTGTGGAAGGGCTACTGACACCTGAGTGTTTTACTGAAGTGATTACCAGACTGGAGCCAATAATCCCCAAAGCCAACATCACCTTGCTCTTCCTAGCTCATGTCCTAGATGGTCATTTACCAAGAGCCAGGAACCCAGGGGCCGTCCCACAGACTCTGGTCTTCCGGCCTCCCTGGGCTCCGGTGGTGGGACAGGTCCTCCCCAGGCTTGGACAGAGGCTCCCCAGGGCCTTCCCAGGCCTGGTTCACCTGAGTCCATCAGGTGCCTTAGTCAATGGAAGGTTCACAGTTTTGCCAATGCATTAGCAAATTGAGTTAGCTCACTTGGGAAAAATGCGTCCTTGACTCACACTGGTTACAGAAACACTCCTCTGTCATCAGCTTTCTCTCATTACCTGCCACCGTTACACATTCTCACTTCCCTGCATATTCGCTTAAATGGAGTCACCTAGGAAACTGGAGAAACAAACAGAGGAGGAGGGCAGGAGCTGTGGGAGGAGGGAGCGCTCATGGCCCTGGTCACATAGAGAGGGGAGGAACATCTGAGAGGGCGGGTTCTGGCGGCAGCCTCCATGACACCAGCCAGATGGTGTCCTCCTCCCCAGGCGAGTGAATCAATCCTGTGTGGGTCACCTGAGAGATGCCTGGGCAGGTATCAAGAAGCCCCAGGAGGTTTATCAAGAAGTAACATTTCTGTAAAAAAAAAAAATTCTCTGACTTCTGAAACATAAGCCTAAAATTTTAACCATGCATGTCGAAGCCCACGCAACTGATAAATAATGGTCCCCTCTCAACCTGGTGGGAAGGCCATGAGGCTCCCAGCTACCCGGCCTGGGACATCAAAACAGCCATTTCATACCCCGGGATCCTGTCTATTAATCCTCTATTCACAGACCTGTCTCCACTGTCTGCCTCAATACCCCCAAATGTGCGTGTTCAAAGCAGACCTCACCCCTTCCCCACCAGACCCGCTGTCCCCTGCCTTCTCCCACGTCAGTTAATGGCATCCCTGTTTACTGGTGGCCTAATCCAGGAACCAGAGAATGTTCAGCTCTGTTCTCTTCCTTCCCCGACGTCAAATCTGCCCATCCTATCCTCAGAAGAATTCTCACATCCATCCTCACCTCTCTCTTCCCCTGTCTACACTCTCGATACCCTGCAGCCATCCTGGATTCTCTCCTAACTGGTTTCCCTGCTCCATCTCTCGCCTCTCTAACCAGTCAGCTCTGGCCTCTCTAACCAATCTGTCATGGTGTCACCAGAGCTGTGGTTCTAACATGTCAGTCTCGCTGTGTCACCTCCAGCTCTTAATAGCTGCTGACTGCCTGAACAGCAAAGCCCACACTCCTCAGCTAGGCACACAAGGTTTTCAGCCCATGTCCTTTAATGTTCCCATTCATGCTGTAAGCTAGCAGGTCCCAGCCACAAATCCTAGAACCAAAGGTCTTAAATGCCACTTCCTCCGAGAAGCCTTCCTTCACTCCACCTGCCACAGTCAACTGTATCTTTGGATCCTGGTGCCTTTGGCACTGGTAGCAGCTTATGGTGCTGCAGTTACTGTAGCCATTCCTTCCCCACAATCTCCTTCAAAGCAGAGGGCTGCCCACTGCTTCTAGACTCAGATGCCTTGCCACAGTGCATGGCACCCAGGATAGGATACCCTCAGGTGATGGCTTAGGGCATCAGTAGACAAATTTTTATTTATTTATTTTTGACTGTACTGTATTTTGAACTCAGAGCCTCATGCTTGCTAAGTAGGCTCTCTACCTCTTGAGCCACTCTGACAGCCCTTTTTTTCGTTGAGTATTTTTCAAGATAGAGTCTCGAGGATTATTTGCCCAGGCTGGCTTTGAACCTCGATCCTTCTGATCTCTGCCTCCTGAGTAGCTAGGATTACACACATGAGCCACTGGGCTGGTGACAAATTGTCATTCACAGGGTGATTGGCATACTCCTTTTCAGCTTTTATCACACACTTACTAAATAGCTTCAGAGATTCATTGAGTTTCCTTCCGATCTTCTTTGATAGGACTGGGGCCAGGTCTGATATAGACAAGGTAGTGAGCAAAACAAGAGAAAAAGGACCTGGAAACACCCCTCCCCCAACCATCTCAGGTAAGTTGAAGGAATAAGACACACGTTCTTGCATATTTTGCTGTGGAGATAGTAACTTAAAGGCAGGGGTGGGGGCATTGAGGCCTCCAAGGCAATCCAACGTCACGCCTTCCCCATGTGGATCTCCAAGGGATTTAAAGAACAGATCTTCTTCCAGTTCCTCCCAGGCCTCAGTCATTGGTTCTGTCTTGATATCCATCAAATTCACTAAGACATCAGAAACCTCCTCAACTGGATCAATCCAGGCCTGTCCAAGAAAGAGCCAGGCCAGGAAACTGAGTCAGCTGTTTAGCTGGAATGGTTGGGTTAAAATACAAAGATAGAGCGAAGGGTGTGCAGTCAGCCTCGGGCAGGCCCTGGGGGTGAATGTGCCAGATTCCCTGGGATGCCATCTGTTAACTCAGTTGAGACGACACCTTGGGCTAAGGAATAAAATTCCTGCCAGTGTGTTGTTGGGCATCATTGAAACTGTGCTCTGTGGCTCCACATCCCACTCACAGTACAACTGCCCTGCTCAAGGTCATTACCTGCAGAGACCCCTCCCTGCATCCTCACCTGTCTGGCGTGGACAAGTACTTCTGCTTCTGGAATTTCTTCTCCAGGCCCATGAGCTGCAGCTCGGTGAAGATGGTACGACTCCGGCGGGGCTTCTTCTGCCGGGGTGTGGGCTGCTCGGCCTCTGACTCACTGCTGGCTAACGCCTCGCCACCTGGGACCTCAGCAGAGGCAGCCTCAGTAGCAGGGTGGCGGGACAACACGGGGGCAATTCCTGGGGTGGTAGGGATCAAGTGGGAGATGACCGTGGGCTGTCGGGTGATCACCGAGAGGAGAGGGTACGCCCGAAGGGAAGAGGAGCCTAGAAGACAAACAGGGAGGCAGGTCAGCACAGGAGCAGGGGTTGGACAGAGGCTGGGGGCCCAAAGCAGACCCTGCCTGAGACCTGCCTGATGGCAGGACCTCCCAGTCACCGGAGATACAGATGGAGGAAGGGGTGAAGAAAAAGCAAACCACACCTGCAGGGTGGGCAGGCTACTGAGGCCTGCTCATCTTGGTGTGCAGAACACCCATGCCTCCTCAGGTGGGAAGGTTTTCCTGCAAATCCTCTGGTTTGAAGTGAATCTAGCCCTCTCCCCTTTGTGAGCTTCTGGGTTTAGGGATGTAGAAGTCAATGGGGCCAAACAGATGAAGAGTAGTCAGAAAATGCAGAAACACATACTTCAAAATCCAAAATAGATTTGTAATATGCAAATTTCCTGCAAACCATCTATGGTCTTTATTCAAATACCTGCTTGTAACTAGGAATTCCTAGACTGAGAGGTTGATGTGCATTGAATCATAACATTCTCTTCCAGCTGGAAGGATGCATAAGGATTATTTAATTCAACTTCCCCATATCTAGTTCCAGAAAGGTGGAAAGTGTTGCATGTAAGGTCACATAGCTAGGAGAAAGCAGATCGAGGAGTCAGACCAACATCTAGCTTGTGGTGCTCTTAGCAATCACATCATGAGTCACGTGGGTACATCCTGGAGAAGAGGAGAACAGAGAGCTTCTAATTCACAAGGAAGCAATTCGACGGCTGACAGCAGGGTTTAGGAGGCTTGCAGGCTGGCTGGGAGCTGGACTGAGGAAAGGCGCTGAGCTCCATTCATAATGTCTGCCATGGGCAGGCAAGGGCTCAGAGGCATGGTGGCATATATACTAGTTACATGCTAGTTCTGTCTTAGGAATTTCAAAGAATATTTTTTTGCCTATCTAAGTTTTTGGGGGTTTTTTTGTTTTTGTTTTTGTTTTGCCAACTGGAGTTTGTACTCAGGGCCTACACCGGCTTCCACCAGCCCCTTTATTGTGATGGGGTTTTTTTGTTGTTGTTGAGATAGGGTCTTGTGAACTATTTGCCTGGCTGACTTTGAACCATGATCCTCCTGATCTCTGCCTCCTGAGTAGCGAGGATTACAGGCGTCAGCCATGGGCACCTGGCACACAATCTGAGTCTTTCAAGTTCAAGTAAAAGACCTCTTTTCTCTCATTACTTAATAGCATCAGGCTTACAATATCTTGATCATGATTCCTTGACATCATTTTGTCTCTCTGGGCCTCAGGTTTATCATCTGGAGAATAAAAGTGGCTAATTTCAAACTCTTCAAACTCTGATATACTGATGCCACAGAAGAACCTCTCACCCCACCATCTGACAGCTGATGAAAGAACAGAAGACTCATTTCTGCCCTTAGGCCTCAGTGCAGTCCTAACAATGGACTACAAGAGCCAGTCAGCAAGAGGCAGCCAATGTTCACTGTAGTTCTGGGCTAAAACTAACTGGACTGGCATCATGGAAGCCCCGGGTGGACTTGCTCTCTTCTCTGACTTGCTCTTGTTCATTCCCAGGCCTCTGTGCTGGAGGCCAGGCCTAGTCATCAGAGCAGATAACTCCTCTTGTTCTTTGAGTGCACATCTAGCAAGGCCCAACAGAAACCACAAAGTTGTTGAATAACAAGAAATCACCAAGTGCTAAGGCTTCTGTGAACTCTCCAGCCAAGGCTAATGCTTGAGGTTTTGTGTTGTGGATTCTTTTTAAGAAAAAAAAAATCATCTGGGATAGTTTTTATAGCAAGAAAAGCAGTGTGCTGGGCTTGTGGTTTACACCTTTCAGCACACATCACAAGAGGACGCTGCCTAAAAAAGTCTCTGGAAGCTTCTTACCCAAACAGGTGTTGCTCATTCAAATCACTTTAATTATGCCCTTTCTTCCAAAAGGGACTATTTTTCTTTCTTCAGCAGGCTAGTTTTTGATCTAGAAACTCAGGACTTACCTCTGTAGGAAATGGATAAGGCTACCTGTAAGTCAGGATATTTTGTTTTAACCTTTCTCTTTTGTGAAACAGTCAAACTTATTTTTGCCTAGAATGTAATATTTTGAAAGTGGACTCATGCTGGTGCCAGTGGCTTACGCCCATAATCCTAGCTACTCAGGAGGTAGAGATCAGGAGGATCATGGTTCAAGGCCAGCCTCAGACAAATAGTTCACAAGACCCTATCTCAAAAATACCCAGCACAAAAAAGGGCTGGGGGAATGGCTCAAGCAGTAGAACATCTGCCTGGCAAGCATGAGGCCCTGAGTTCAAATCCCAGTACCACCAAAAAAGGAAAGAAATAGGCACTCATACACTGGAGTATTAAAGAGAAGCCATTTCACACTCATACCAATAATATCTACCAAGTTCCTAATAAGTAATTCCAGTCTGAGTGGTATTTGCTCATGTGTACAAAGATTTGTATACAACCATCTTCACTGTAGATTCATGGGAACCTTGTCTATAATAGCAAAATTATCTGTCTACAAATTACATATCTACTAATAGAAAAGCAGTTAAACAAATTGTGGTTCCTCTGTAATATAATATAGCCACTAAAAAGAATACCTACATAAACTGTTAGGAATGCATAGATGGGCAGGTAGGTAAACTAATACGAGAAAAGGAACTAAAGTACACTATGAAGAGAGGGAAAAGTATGGCATAAAACAATTTGCACTGTCATGAAAAATGTGTGTCTGTATTTATAGATGCAATCTTTAGAAAGCTAGTTAAACTAGTGACAGCGATTACCACTGGAGAGGTGATACAGAGTGAAAAGGAATTAGCATGTACTAATCTCTGCCTGTATGCAACCGGACCACGACATTTATTGACCATCTAACATAGGCCACATAGCTAGCATAGACTAACACAGCTGCTCTGGAAGTTACCCCTACGGCAATGAACATAGGCTTCATAGACCCCATGCAAAGGAGGCAGACAGAAAACAAATAAATAAGTAATACAAATTCTATAAAGAAAACTACAGCAGAGTGGGGGGGGGCAGGTGCTTGAGAGAGAGGAGTCAGGGAAGGCTTTTGTGCAAAGGTGACCTTTCAGCAGATAAGGGCCTCTCTGTACCCGAGAGCCTTGAGGTGACAGGGATGAGCACCCCAGGCCAAGAACCAGCACACACAGAGCCCTAAAGGGGAAGAAGCTTGGGTTCAGAAAATATCAACCAGGCAGAAATGAGCAAGGGCATGAGTTGCAGGATAGAAGCAGAGACCTGAGGAGCCAAGGTATTGCGGGTGGAGGGAAATGATGCAGATTTGAGCGAGAGAAACACAGAATCTGATTTAGGTTTTTAACAGTCCTCCTGGCTTCTGTGTGGAGGTTGGTCTGCAGGGGTCAGAGGAGAGGCCAAGAAACCAGTGAGGAAGCCAGGCCATATTCCAGAGCCGAGGGCAGCAGCTATGCAAGGAGAAGCAGTCAGAGTCAGGGAAGATTTTATGCTTCAGGTGCAAAGACCTTGCTGAAGGACTGAATGTTAAATCAGAGAGAGGAGCATTGCAAGGTGAATCCTGGAGGCTTGCTCTTAGCAGCTAGAAGAATGGTGGTTTATTACAACGGTAAAGAGTAGACACAGAGCAAGGCTGGGTGGGAAAAGCAAGTTGCTGTGAGACACCTAGAATGGATTAAGAAGACAGGTAGATGAGCCAATCTGGAGTTCAGGAACGCAAGGGGTGAGGACCCAGCTTTGATTCCTGGAGTGCTTGTAGCATTTTTATCCATAGGAATTGTCTGAGGTCAGCTAGGGAGTGAGTGGAAGAAAGAAATAAGAGACCTGAAGACTGAGCCTGAGGCACGCCAACATCTGAAGTCATAAGGAGGAAGAAAAGAGACCCATGCAGACTGAGGAGAGGACAGTAGAGTACAAGGAAACCCAGCATCCCCTGGCTATCCCAATACTCAGATGACAGCTCTATATTACTTACATTTTATCATACACGTGTTATTTTTGTAATTTTTAAAAAAGGAAAATTTTGATTAAATGAACTTTGAGTTTTATTCTCATTTTAAAGTTTTAATATCTGTTCAAGTTTGTCAAAAAAAGAATGATCATTTATTGACCCTTGACCCTATGCATGATTAAAACATCTAAAAAGCTGGGCAAAGAAAACCAATCTAGAGCTCCCAGAAATTAAGTATAAAATATGTTTAGTTTTATGACACTGCTAGGAAAACAAACACCGTGGATATCCCCTTGGACAAAGAGACTATCCAGTCACTTCTGAATCAGTCTACGGAACATTTTCCCTTTATGTGCAAGATGTTTGAGCTTTTGAGTTTGTATGCTATGTAGAATTATATTCTTCCCTTTAAAAGAAAATCGTCTAACATGGAGAAATGATAGTCTTTTCTGTGTTAGTAGAACAAGTAGATACTGGTTTGCAAAAAAAATGATCTATACCTCATAAATTTTAAAAATAAATTTCACTCAAAATGGATCATAGATCCCAATGTAAACACAAATCAATAAAACACAATGAGATACTTCCACACTGCTAGGATGGACTAAACTATTTTATCAATTAGCAGTATCAAGTGCTGACGAGGACAAAGAGCAACTGGAACTCTCACGCATTGCTGGTAGGAATCCAAAATGGTACCACCTCTTTGGAAACAGACTGGCAGTTTCTAATACAGTTAAAAATACAGGCACCATGTGACTCCACAGAACTAGGTATTGATCTACAAGAGAAAGAAAACACAACCATCAGTATGCAAATATTTATAATAGCATTAATAATTACCAAAAGCTAGAAACAATCCAAATGCCCCTGAATGGTAGGGAGTCTGCTGTCTGAGGCTTCAATAAACAGATTTTTGTTATCTTTGAATTTAATTCCATACATAACACTGGGCCATGTGGAACCTGAGATACTTGGTTTATATTTTGTATGCATGGGTTCACTCTGTTCTCCTGAACTAGTATGTAGTCCTGTTATAAGAGCATTCTACTTTAATTATTGTGGGTTCTATTTGTGTGTGTGTGTGTAA